AGCCGGGTGAGGAGGAGAAGACTGAGCTGATAGAGACTCCTGAGGAGTAGAGGAAGGAGGTGCCCCGCATTGAACGCGGGGTGGAGGGCCGGACGCTGGAGACTTCTGTTTTATTGTCTATTGTGGTAAAGCCCAAATCCACGGAGGAGCCCTCGGTGATATCATTCGCTTCGGACTCGAAAGTGGTCGAGGTGAGGGTGACTCTGACGGAGGGCGTGGTCTCATCCTGATAGGCACTGTCGCCATTGGCACCACGACAGCAATAAGTCACCTCAGATGCCCGGGCTGCTTGCAACAACTCCGGTGCGGTATAGCGCACGTTGCTGACAGGCACTGCAAGATATCCAGGTCTAAAGTTTGTTGCAACCAAATGAGTTAATGGGACTCCAGAGTGCTCAAATGAATGCAGTACAAGGTAACACATGGATGCGTGACGTAATGTTAAACGTTAGTATTGCCGGCATAGACAAGGGAGACTGGCCATTTCTAGCCTATTAGCCATCAACAGCCAGTCATACTCAGCCCCAATTGGTGCATCACTTGAGGTTCGAACTCGCGACCTTTCTGATCAGAGTCAAACGTCCTTACCATTAATCAACGAGCTCACAGTTATTTAATGGGAAACCGTTCTTTTACCAGCACGCGTTGCCAGTCACTGGCGCCTCTCGATTTAAAATATTTTTAGGCCGGCACAAAATTCAGACCAAGTCAGCCTTTTTCCGACTTCCTTGCAAACGCCCAGCAGGACGGCCAGGGTCCGGGCGTAAGGAACGCCTATAATATGAGACAAGCAGTGAGGCGAAACAAATCACGGCAAGCAGGGACGACTAGCTCACCATTCTGATGAGGGAATTAAGCATGTCTTTGAAGCGTCACCATAAATACAGTGTATCCATGAAGACGCCTTGTTTTCCCCTTCTTCTCCGGGGGTGGGGATTGGGATACAAGGTGGTATATATGCTATCTTAGTCAGCATTAACTGACCGTTGGCAAGGTAACCTTACCTGATTCCCACAATCCGAGCTGCTGCACTCTATTGCTCTACTTACCCTTATTTGATTTCTGTGATAAGCCTGTAATCCTCATCATGTGAGTAAATCCACGTACAACTAAACTTTTTTGGTTCCCATATCGCAGTAATTATCAGTGAGTTGATAATTTTGCCAGCTTTTCCTGTCAGTCTTCCGCCACAGAAGCGGTAGGATGTTTGGTGCTAAGGCGTATACCGCACTGTCAGCGGAACAGCAACGAAGTAATTGGGTCCGACAAAGACTATGGAAATCGAAATGGACATTTGTGGCTTATTAACCCTTATCAGCCAGTCATACCCGATCCCTTGGTGCAAGGGTAGAGTGTTTTACTCAATGACCAAGGGCTCCCGGTTCGAAACCCGGGTGATCCACACCTAAGATTGGGTATGACTGGTC